GCCTCACGTGCGCGCCTCTAACTCGCCGCTCCGGTCAACCCGCCGCCGCATGCAGCAGCACGGACAGTACTACTACTACTAGATGTAGATCGTCCAATCCGAAGGCATTCCTCCCCTCCCCGTCGGGCCACCGCACCCACGGCCTGCCTGCCACAGTGTCCGTCCCATAGTTTATTCTCTCCTTCCGCTGCGCTTCTCTCCCGCATTGGTTTAAAGGAGGGAGGTCCACGGACGGAGGGGAGAGAGGCGGTCCCCCGATGGCCCTGCGTCCCTCGCCGGCCTCCTCCCCCCACGCATTGCCGGATTCCAGGGCTCCCCGCGCGCCGCCGCCAAGTGGGCTGCTCTGGCAGGAGTAGTACGGGGGGTTTGCCCGCTGCTTCTTGGCTGGGTTGGCCGAGGGCTTTGGTTTGGGATCGCCGGAGCGCCAGGATCCGGAGGTTCCCTCCAGGCTAACTAAAGGTGGGTGTATACATACGTTGCGGCATTGCCTGTTTGGGGTCCGTCGGATCGTGCCGAGGAAGATCGGCCCGAAACCGCATCTTCTCGTGCCTCTGCATTCTCTGTCAGCGGGCTGGTTGGTTACCTTACCTGAACGCAATTGTAGCAAGAATTTAATTAGTTCCATGTTACTTATGTGAACACTGCGATGATTTGCTTGCAGATTCTTTAACATTTGATTTGACTGTCGAATTTGGTGCTCGGTCTTGAAATTCAGAAAGGAGAAGAGCCTTTGCTAGGTTCAGCAATCGATGGCCTCCGCGGGTGAGGGAAAAATGAAGGTGAGATGGTAATTCTGTTTCCGCAACCACATTCTGTAGAGATGAAAACAATTGCCTTCATCAAACTACATTTGGACTCCAGGGTTGCCGCCCCAAACTTTTCGGTGCAAAGGAGAAGAAATCTGCAAAGAGGACCGACAGTCCAAGCTGCAATGCAGGTCGCCTTTTGTCCTTCACTTTCCCCATCACGCATGAAAATACCTTTGGACGTTGTTTCCATCCCATGTTTTAGATTGTTACGGGACATGAGTCTAAAACCTTTCTTCAGTAAATATCCCAGTATTGAAAAAACTTTAAATCTTCTTTAACAGTTGAAAACTAACTTTAGTGAAGCAATGTTTTCACCAAATTGTTCCCTAATTGGGCAAGTTTAACCACTTCAAATTTATAGGGGCGAGTTTTACCCAAAAGTATGATGTGACAAAATTGATTGACAAACCTGCAATCCAAACTATCACCTACCATTCCATTTTCGAAACATGACACCATTTTTTAGAACAAAAACATGGCATCGTTTCAGTCTTAAATTATATAGAGATTAATATGAAGCTCCGCAACAGTCATTAAATGAGCCTCACAGTTCTTATAAGGTAGCTAATCCCATTAATCAATTATCCAGAAATCTTTAGTTTGTCTTGACATAATAGCAGGAATTAAATGTGTCGTATGCTCCTATATATTACAGCAGCTGAGCTTGGACCAAGTCCTTCTAAGACAGTATCCGCTTCCCCCTTGAGAACACTTTCAGGTACTTTAACATGTAAAATCATGTGTTTTATCTGATTGTACAGATGTAAAATGTTAGTTTCAATTTGTTTCTTGTCTGTCTTTAATTCAAACCAGGAGTTAAGAGCATACGTCTCAGCCATTTCCTGGCCCAACCTTCTTCTATTAATAGAACAACTGAGCCCATCAGGTACAACAATGGAAATTTCATATCCTGTCATTTTCCCATCCTTTTGTGCCAACAGACTAGATTCTCCACTCTGCTTTCATTGAACAGAATTTTTGTCTCTACCTGGAACGTCGGTGGGAAAGCACCTACTGCTGAACTGAACATGGATGATTTTGTTCCACCTCATGATCATTCAGATATTTATGTGTTGGGGTAGGTTTTGCACTGATTTTAAATAGATACAGAAATATTCCTTGCCGACATTACTAATTACACTGCCTGTGTTATTATTATATATATATATATATATATATATATATATATATATATATACCCTCCCTAATGTTTAACACATGAATATTAACTTTCTCATCTACAAGATTCAATGCACAGCTGAAAAAGTTAAAAGTAATCCTTGATTGGTGTGGTAGTAGAATATCATTAACACGTTTAGTATTTGTATTCAGCGTAATTAATCCTGGATTCCTGGTTTACTTTCAAGTCTCAAGAGTATTTAGTGGACCTTTTCCTTTAACATTGATCTCCATGACATCAATTCTATCTATTAATCTTTGAACAGTTTTCAGGAAATTGTTCCTCTCAATGCTGGTAATGTGCTTGTGATAGAAGACAATGAACCAGCTGCAAGGTGGCTTGTTCTTATAAACCAAGCACTAAACCGGCCAGCTCATAATGATACCAATGTCTTTCAGCGTCCGACATCTCCATCTGTCGATTCTACTTCATCTCGAGCTTCTTCAAGCCTCGACACTTCATTCTCTGAATTAACAAAAACAGCAAGTGGTTCCGCAATCTTCCAGAAATCTTCCCTCAAAGCCATTAGAAAACCTTTCATGCCAATGCAGAGAAAACGGCTTAAGGCCTGCAACTGCCCAGCAGAAATGATCAAATCATCGTACAGGGATGCTTGCTTTCGGCGCCCGAAAAAACATGCTGACGAGACTGATTCCTCGGGAGAGGAAGAGAAAGAGAACACGAGGGATTCTTGCGGCTCTGTGCTAAGTGAAGTAACTTCCGCTCCCACCGCAAGGGATAAGCTAAAATATAACCTCATAGTATGCAAACAAATGGTTGGTATTTTTGTCACTGTGTGGGTAAAGAAAGAACTAGTGCAACACATCGGCCATCTAAGAACGTCTTGCATAGGGCGAGGAATTCTTGGCTGTCTTGGAAACAAGGTCAGGACTAAATCAGATTGAAGCATTGCTGTAACTAATTGTCCGTATCCTGAATACACTTCTACTGCAGGGATGTATATCAGTAAGCATGACAGTGCACCAGACAAGCTTTTGTTTCATCTGCAGCCATTTGGCTTCAGGTCAGAAAGAAGGGGACGAATTCAGAAGAAACTCTGATGTTCTAGAGATAATGCGGCTCACACTGTTTTCGAGGCTTTGCAGGAGAATTGGGCGAAGAATTCCTGAGAAAATTCTTGAGCATGAGTAAGAATCTGGTGATATACTCCCTCCGTTCCTAAATATATGTCTTTTTATAGATTTCAAATGGACTACCACATACGGATGTATATAGACACATTTTAGAGTGTAGATTCACTCATTTTGCTCCGTATGTAGTCACTTGTTGAAATCTCTAAAAAGACAAATATATAGGAACGGAGGGAGTATATGATTGTACATCTGTTCCTTGTCAGTTTAATATTCTGTAACTAATTAATGCACTGTTTATCTCAGTAAGGTAATATGGTTTGGGGATTTGAACTACCGTATTGCACTGAGCTATGAAGATACGAAAAGGCTTTTGACGGAAAATAATTGGGATGCCCTTTTCGAAAAGGATCAGGTAACTTTGTATCAGTTGAATCAATCTAGTTATGAATCAAAATTTGAACTACTCACTGAAAGACGGCAAACAAATGCATTTATTATCTGTTTGCTAAAAATTTGGTACTACTAAAGAAATCCGAAAAGGTGATATCAAATCTTTCAAATGATTCCCTTATTGCGCCCAAACCATAGTTGTCCACTTCTGCAAATTTTCCCTTCCCTGATATTCAGTATGTTCATTCTTCAGCTAAAAATTGAACGAGATGCTGGACGAGTGTTCAGGGGATGGAATGAGGGGAAGATATATTTTGCTCCCACATACAAGTACTCCTCTAACTCGGATGCGTATGCTGGTGAGACTGCAACATCAAACAAAAAGAGGAGAACGCCAGCATGGTATGTAACTATGAACAATTTTAAGTAGTTCCATGACAAGGAAGCCCTGTCTGGGAAATAGAGAAAGTGTAATGTCATAATATTCCATTCAGCTGTTGCTGTAGGCACAAACTTAAGGCCTTTTTTTATTTTCATGCCATCTTAAATCCTAAAAGATTGAGCGGCTGTTCGGTACACCATAAGGACAACATAGAAATCTTCCCAAGAGGTTTTTTAGGGAGCGTGCACAAAAGCTTTGCATGTCTTTTCGTTAAGCATGCCAATTGACAAGAGTCAAATGTACAATATATCCTAAACGGCTCGACAAGTGGCTATTGTTCCACACTTCTACTGGGAAGCCACAAAGAACCCACCAAAAAAAAAGAAGTCCAAAAGTCCTATTGGTTGCAATCCCACGAATCAAAGACCCCACTTAAGAAAAATTCCGAAGGAGTAGAATCCTAGAAAAACTCTTTGAGATCGAACCAAAGAGGCCCTAGCATGCAGTCTAACATTACCATTGGCGTTCACTGCAAGTGGCAATAGCTCTCTAAGTACTTCCATGCAAAAGTAAATAAGTAAAATAAATGCCGCACACAGTAGTTCTGATATACAATAAGCTTGTGATATTATGCTTGTGAACCATTCGGTGCTCGATGCATTCCGTTGCATACGTCTTAAGTAATTGAACTTGTTCAGGTGTGATAGAATATTGTGGCAAGGAGACGGCACTTCACAGTTGTCCTACTACCGTGGAGAGTCCCGATTTTCAGATCATCGTCCTGTCTGTGGAACCTTCATTGTCGAGGTTGAGGCACTAAACAGAAAGACAAAGAGGTGTTCATCTAATGCTGACATGAAAATCGGTGCTGAAGAACTTTTACCAACGGACAAGAATAAGGGTAAAGGTACTGCACTTCTTCACATGCAGTGGTCATTTTCTAAATCTTTCATATCCCAAATTTTGGCATAGTAACTAAACAGGTGCGTATGTCAAGGCCAATACAAAGTGACGATATCCCATTTTGGTTTCCGGTTAGGTAACAACAATGGAATCAAATAAACATGATGCATTGTTGTTTAACTACAAAAATTCTATTGCATTTTCTCATAAGATACATAGATCTTAAGAGTCGAGCTTAAGTATATTTTCAACCCATAATTAAACGTGAAAACGGTCATACCCTACACGCACTCTAGCCCTGGACTCATACAGAAGACTGAAGTATGTCCCTGCTTCCATTTTGCAGGCACATCATGGAGCGTGAGCTTCCACAAAATAACACAATAATGTGCATGCCAGTTCTACAAAGAAAAACGTATATGCATCACGTTGTCAAGAATCGTGCATAGATTCTATTTGGACGACGGTTAAAAACCGGCCTGATGCTCCTGTTTCAAACAGGGCAACAGACTCTGGAAGTGGAAGGATAATGTCTAGTTTTCATTCCAATTTTTCCAACGCAGTCCAAAAGAAAAAAAAAAGACAGGTCTCCTTTTAAAGGAAGTGATTTGGTTATATACCTGATAGGATTAAACCAGCCAATATTCTTTGGTCTGTAATTTTTCCAGTTGTAAGTATAATTGTACTATGAGTCTATGACAGGATGAAGCAACAATCTTTTTTTCGCGGCAATTTTTTAAACAAGCCACGAGCATTTTGAAATGCACATGATGTTCTTTCCTCCTTTCTACCGATTTCGTAGCATTGTGTGTCTTGCAACTGTGTACTCTGATTCAAAAGACAGATAGAGTTAGGTAATAGAGATGCACATAGGTGGATGGATTCATAATGTATTACCCATATACTAGTATGAAGCTGGAGCATGCTACACCATTACTTCCCCCCTCTTCTTAAACTTGACCATGAGATCATTCTTCATCTGCAGAAGAACCGGCACACTGGGATTCGTCGTGTGCCTCTCCAACACCTCCAGATCAGAGTTCCACACCATGGTGGCGGCGATGCTGTTATCTGAGCAACCATGATGTTCCTGCTGAGGCATGACCTTGGGCCCATGTTGAAGATAACTTGTAAGATGGATGCGCGATGACCCGATGACATCCTCTCAGATCCATTCTCCCCATGATGTAGATCGAGATCAAAATGGTCAGATCTCATATGGTGACAACTAGATTGGGTATGTGTCCTTCATCACTCCCCGCCGCCATCTACTTCGCCTCGTTGACCCTAACACTCTTAATATGGCATGTGACCTGGTTATGTGTCAATTGAATGGTTTGACATGTTCACTTGGTAGAGCTACACATTCTTCATGTCTCTTCGTACCACTGTCCACATCGCCCCAGTGATCCTAACTCTTATTACCGAACCAGTAGCGAGTGTGACTTGCCGAATATCAATGATAGCAAGTGTGAATTGCGGAATATAAAGGGAATAAGAGACAACCAATGTATTTCCTCGAATTCAAATACCACCTTTATTCTACTCTCCGTTGAGGGGGGCTCCCCCCGCCCCTCTCTCTCTCTCTCTCTGGATTGCCCCTTGATCCACTATGGATACTATTTTCCTCCACTTCGGAGACAGAAAATTCCACAATCACTTCACAGATAACCCGACCTCTTTCACAAGCTTTGTGAAGAGATCACAGAACCAATATGACCAAACCATTTAGAAGGTGGAGGCCTCTAAGAGTAACAAGCTTTAAGGCTCTTACCAAACCGGTCGCTTGGTGGAGCTCAAATCGCTCCATCCAACGAAAGCAACTTATGATCAAATCTGACCCCATCGATTCTCACCCTATGCATCTCATGCAATTGATGGATTATAGAGGGGGGAAACAATGGAGAAGGTAAATAAATTATTCATAGATCCATGGTTACTTGCCCTCACTTAGATGGGAAATCGGGATTGTGGGGATGAACTTGGATGTCAAACGATATGCAGCAAAAACCGACATCCAGTTGTTTCCTTTCCCCTCGGGGAAGGAGGGCTATATATAGGTCCCACTTATTTATGCATGTTGGTTGCTTCTTCCGTTCTTCGCCTAACCCGGAGTCTTCGAACAATACAGAGGATCTGGAGGCCGAAAATCAAAACGCTTTCCATGATAATTTTGGGCTGCTCTAGAGGCTACTAACTAGCACAGAAGTATTTCCTATAGCATGCCCAAAGAAGCCCCCAATAAACAAATCTGCCCCGAAGGCCCTGGAACACCTAGAACAGACGTCATGGAAAACGACACTACTTTCTCATGCAAACTCTAATTTTTATGATCTTGAGCTTGTTATGAAACTAACAAGCTCTAATTCCTCACATAGAGAACCATCCAAGATCAACTAAAAAGTAGGATGCAAAACATTCAAATGTTTGAGCACTCTGTACAACGTGATCAAGCTACTCACGATAGACACTCTTTATAGCTGGACTATCAAACCTATAATTTGGTCTCCCACCATGCACCTTGAGAATAGTAAAACTAGGAATGTCCAGCAGAGGCATTCCTTTGCCTTGTGCATTCCACTTGAGCCCGATGACATCATTCATACTTCTCTCGAGCCAAAATCCTTGCTGAAGGCTCTCTCACTTAAGCACATCTTCAGACGTCCATTATTATAAAATGGTCTGCAAGATTCAAGCATATATCTTCTGGAGATTTGTATCTTGCCCTTGCTCTTTTCAAACTTGAAGACCATTTCCTCTTGGCATCATCTTCTCATGGGTTATCTGAAACTACCTTTGGATGGAAGCCCATGAGTGGCATCTACCTCATATAGGAATACCAAAACGCATAAAGCACAATTCATAATGCTTACCATATCACTCGATCACTTGATCACACACAATACATTATTTACGTTTGTGTGTTGACTATTTAGAATCCAATCATAGCGCTGCATCTTGGTTAGGGGTGGGCATAAAAACCTACCAACCGAATGCCGAACCGATACCGAAACCGAAAATACTGAATTTTCGGTTTTTGTTACTGCTGCAGTAAAAATCGGTTTCTCCTTTTAATAACCGAATTCAAATATGTTGGTTCGGTAGGAAATCGTGCACCGAAAGAAAATCCAAAGCACGAAGCTCCCTCACGTACGCGTTAGGATAAATGACGCGTCTCTGATCGCCAACCACCAGCCGCTCGCGCGCGGCCAGCCCATGTGCGAGTTTTTTTTTTTTGCGTAGGCGACAGGCCCAAGTGAGAGCTAAGCCAGCCAGCTAGTCTTTCTGTGTCATAGGCATGGGCCGTGCACATAAATTGCTTGGCCCAAACACGTTCGTAGAGCATAGGGAAATAGACTGTCTTGTTTTGTTTAGTCGCACATCGCGTGGGTACGCTCAACAGGATAAGATGCTCGCTTATATAAGGGGGCGGGATGCTCAGAATTGATATTTCATAGCTGCGTTGTAAGGGCATGTACAATGATGCTATCTTACCAGTGCCACGCAGGATAAGTGATGAGGTGGAAAAGAGAGAACTCATAAGAAAAGGCTTGTTCTTTCTTATTTAAGAGAAGACAAGAGATGATCTCTTAGCACAATATGTCTCACCACATTTTTAGGAATAACTAGTTATTGAAGATAAGGCTAAGAGATGACCCATTGTAGATAAAATGTTTTGTCATCTCTAAATTACATGCAAGACTTAAGATAAGACTACCTTATCAACCATTGTACATGCCCTAACTCCTCAGCAACTAAGTAATTGTTCGGTATAAACTGAAAACTGAATTTTCGGTTAGCTGATTTGTGTTGTTATTTTTTATTTTTAACTTTACTAATGAAATTGAAAAAAAAATGAACAGTATAAACCGAATTCTTGGTTTCTACTGAATGCCCACCCCTTCTCAGTCACATCTTGATCTTCACAAGAATGTTATTTTTATCATATTTACTTCATTCAGTGAGCTCAATGTTTATGCCTAGTTTTGTTGGCTTATCATACTATAATATTCATCTCTTGAAATCAACAATCTTGATGCATAACTCAATTCAGACGACATTCATTCCTGAAGCCACCAAATGTCCTCCATGCATCACCTATCGGTACTCCATATATGACTCAAAGAAATCATTAGTCCATGAGGATTATCATTAATTATCAAAACCACACTTGAGGCTACATGCAACTTCAACTGCTGCAACTAATGGCTCAGCTATGTGTCCACAGCTTTGTCCCACCGTCAAGCCTGCCTAACTGATCCTGGGAGTTCTTGTCGTAGGCTTCTAGCCATAGTTGGTGACTCGGTATGTCTAGTCTCGCATCGCACCGCTGTCAAATTTGCCTTATGAAGTTCATAACAAGAATTGTGTACCACTATTCTCTAAATACACAAACCACAAGCTCTCTCCCTCCCCTGCCCCCCTTTCTCTTCGGATATATTTGAGAGAGGATTTTTCTTCAAACAGTCTGCCAACATCTTCAAAGCAATCTTGTACAACACATTACATAAGTTAATCGACCGGAACTGAGAAATGTTGGAGGAATTAGCACCAAAATAGTGTTGTTAATGTTCTCCGTGGACTCGGTCCCCTCAACTATGCGAAAAATGGCATGGGTGACATCTGAACCACACATATCCTAGTGGTGTTTTTTCTCAGGGAGTCGTCTAGGTCGGGGCACTTTAGGGAGGAACATCGAAAATAAAGCACATTTGACCCCTCTTGCATACATCGTTTAGTTAATAAAGTGTTTTTTTGTGGGTGGGTTAATATATAAAGTGTTTGTTTTGCGGGTGAGTTAATATATAAAGTGTTCATCCCCCACATGATCTTGCATGGGGCCGAATCAAGAACCTTCTCCATTTGCAGTTTCCCTTTGAAGAAAATAAATTGCCATAAAATTCCGTCGCCATGGCTTCTAGCCGAGCCGGTACTCACCACCTCACTTTCTGAGTTCAAACTCTTAAGTTTACTAGCACGATCGCCGCGAGCTTGGTGCTCTTAATGGTTGCTCTTAGCGCAAAGCTCTCACTTCACTTGGTGCGGTCGGTCTAGTGGTAGAATACTTTCTGTTGTTGTAGTGGTGTGGCTGACTAAAGCTGCGAGCAGCTCTATATATAGGCGTCAATTTCGTAAGTTGATTGGCAAGCAGCCTCGGCCCCGATGCTACGATCGCGGCGTGCATTATTTGGTTAGTTCTGCATTGTCATGGAGCCATTGGCTTAGGAGATGGTCAAAAAACGTTAGTTTCCTTGTAGTCGTTGCATGATTTACGATTAGAGAAGATAGTAATAATATGGTGGGAGGTACGCAACGTCAAAATGACCATTGTAGTTTGAAAGAGAAACTAAAACCAAGATCGATTTTGAGTTGAAGTCCTACTTTTGTGTTTGTTATTTGCCTTTTACAAAACAAAACAAAATTGGTCTCACATGAAAGTAGTTGTCGGTGTCAAAACCGGCAGATCTCGGGTAGGGGTCCCGAATTGTGCATCTAGGTCGGATGATAACAGGAGGCAGGGGACACGATGTTTAACCCAGGTTCGGGCCCTCTTGATGAATGTAAAACCCTACGTCCTGCTTGATTAATATTGATGATATGGGTAGTACAAGAGTAGATCTACCACGAGATCAGAGAGGCTAAACCCTAGAAGCTAGCCTATGGTATGATTATTGTTTGTCCTACGGACTAAAACTCTCCGGTTTATATAAACACCGGAGAGGGCTAGGGTTACACAGAGTCGGTTACAATGGTAGGAGATCTACATATCCGTATCGCCAAACTTGCCTTCCACGCCAAGGAAAGTCCCTTCCGGACATGGGACGAAGTCTTCAATCTTGTATCTTCATAGTCCAGGAGTCCGGCCGAAGGTATAGTCCAGCCATCCGGAAACCCCCTAATCCAGGACTCCCTCAGTAGCCCCTGAACCAGGCTTTAATGACGACGAGTCCGGCGCGCAGATTGTCTTCGGCATTGCAAGGCGGGTTCCTCCTCCAAGTACTTCATAGAAGATTTTGAACACGAAGGTAGTGTCCGGCTCTGCAAAATAAGTTTCCACATATTGCCATAGAGAGAATAATATTTACACAAATCTAATCTGCTGA